GGCAGGCTGGTTTCGAACTCCTGAACTCAAGTGATCTGCCCAGTCGGCCTCCCCAAAGTACTGGGATTACAGGCGTGACCACACTCCACCTGGCCTGATTTTTGATTAAACCACTTATTGTCTATAATGAATTAAAAGTTGGTGAAAGTAAATTCAGTGACATTTTTGCATTTATAATTTCAAAATCATAGTAACTTTCCAAATCAAAATGTCTGGAAACACAAGTCTGCCAAACATCACAATAAAACATGAAACCCAGTGAAGAATGAGTCAGGATGGATTCCCAACGAATAGCACTTAGCTCTACTGCCCAAGCAGAAATGATGAAAGAAACACAGTTTAAGTGCCATGGATAATTTTTCAGTGCCAAAAGAATCATCACAGACTGTTACTTATTACAGAGCTTGAATGGAAATATGGTATTAAAATAAGGTGCATGAAATTAATCCATGAATCTAATTTTGGAAACACACTGCGAGAATGCTCCCTAATATACACCAACCCCAAAAGTGACCACTGACAAGTTTCAGTTTATTTTAGTTTTATGCTGTCATTATGGAAAGGAAACGATGGCGAAAGGTTCCGCAATTTCCTTTGGAAAGAGATATGCAACCACAGCCAATAAGCTTTCCTAAAAAGACCTTCAGGAGCTTTTCATTCTGACTTGTTTTCCCATTCACCAACATACAAATATTTATTGTTCAGAAGTCAATACAGTCTTACCAAATAAACAGGCTTTTAGTTATACAAATGCTCTCATCCTTATATGAGTACTTAGGATTTCTGCAGAGCTTATGCACACCTAAAGCGTGCCAATTCACACTTGGTTCTGGGCTCTATAGTAAAGTCACAGAAACATGACACCTGTCACGAATGCAAGCTAGGAAGTGGTCCCTAAAGCAGGGGATGTGTCTCGAATGCCTCTTCAGTCCTCGTACAGTGTCTAATATGGTGCTGCTTCTACAGCGTTGAGCAGCAGTCCTTAAGAGGGTGGAGTTTAGAATTTGATCTTTGCAGCCCTGAGTTTTAATCCTGACTCTATAACCTATAAGCAGTATAAGAAAGGTACCCAAACTGTCTGTGTCATTTGTCCAGTGGGGACGCTACCCATTTAACAGGGTGTGATGGTTAATTTCAGGTGTCAACGTGACTGACTGCTTTAAGGAATACGTCAGGAACTGGTAAAGCATTGCTTCTGGGTGACTGACTGCCTTAAGGAATACGTCAGGAACTGGTAAAGCATTGTTTCTGGGTGAGCCTGCACATGTATTCCTGGGAAGATTGGTGTGAGCTGGTGGACAGAGTGGGGAAGATGCCCTCAATAGAGACAGGCCCCATCCAGTTCTCTGAGGGCCCAGACAGGAGAAACAGGGCAGAGGAAGGCACTTTCCTCCCTTACCTCTTGGAGCTGGGACTTCTCTTTTCCTGCCCTTGGACATCAGAACTTCAGGCTCTTTTTATACTGAGAATTACACCATCCACTTCCCTGGTTCTGAGGTTTTTGGGTGTGGACTGAGTCACACTCCTGGCATCCCAGGGGCTCCAGCTTGCAGACAGCCTGCCCCGAGACTTTTCACCCCCTAATTCCCCTAATAAATCCCCTCTCATCTATCTTTGCTGATCACCTGGTGGTGTCTCTCTAGAGCCCCGATTAATCCACAGGGGTAATGTGAGGGAGAAATGAGGACGTGCATGGGGAGCATTTCACACCCTGCCTGACACATGCCCAGGTCCAATGGGCTGCAGCTGCAGTTATTCTAGAACTTGGCATCAGTGTTCAAAACAGCGGAAGGCCTTACCTCTGATACCCAGCCATCGCATTGAGCTTCTCCTGTCATTTTTCAATTCCAGAGTGTTTTTGAGAGCAATTCTATGTCCCGTGTATCACTGACATGGGGCCAAAGAAAATTCATACATGTAGGGATCGGAAGCTGGGAATGACCAATGGGTCAGAAAGTTCTTAGGAGTCAGGAGCAGAGGAAGCTGCATGGTCAAGGGGAATCGACGTGAGCCTTCCTGCCATGTGTCCTATTTCCTGTGGTCTAATGAGACAAACATATGTATGTAGACATCATCTCATGCTGAGCTCTTTAATATGTACAAGGTGTTTTCAAATTTTCCCACCAACTGTCTTTGACAGCTGAGAATCTGCAGATCACCTGTTGTTCATGACTGTTGTCAAGGGGATCCTCCCTTTAGGGACACAGGAAGATTTGCCTAAAAACATCAGGAAGCTTTGATATTTATTATTTTATTATAAAAGCCAACTACAGCTTTGCTGTTATATTACTTCGGGTCTTTACTCATCCCACTGTTTATTTTAAGCCTCGGCTTGTGGGTAGTTGGAGAAGGAGGGAAAATATTTAACACTCTTATTAACTAATTTAACTGTGTATTTAACATGTAGAATCAAGAAAGACTTAAAGGAAGATGCAGTATTTGTGAATGCTCCAACAAATTAAAAGATTATTTAAATTATTGTTTTGTCATTAAACCACTTATTTTCTATAATGAATTAAAACAGTTTGTGAAAATAAATTCAGTGATATTTTTGCATCTATAATTTCAAAATCATAGTAACTTTTCAAAGCCAAAAATTCCTGAAACACAAGTCTGCCAATCATCACAATAAAACATGAAGCCCCAGTGAAAGAGCTAGTCAGGATGGGTTCCCAACAAATAGCAGTTGAAGCTCCAACTGCCATGAAGTGATGAAACAAACCCAGTGTAAGAGCCATGGATAATTTTTTTAAATGCCGAAAGAATCATCACAGACTGTTTTGGGTTGTAGAGCTTGAATGGAAATACGGCATTAAAATAAGGTGCCCAAAATGAATTATTGAGTATAATTTCAAAACACACTGCAATGTTGCTCCATAATATTCATCATTCATCAAACCCAAAAGTGACCACTGACAAGATTCAGTTTATTTCAGTTTTTATGCTGTCATTATGGAAAAAAACTACAGCAGGGAGTTCACCAATTTCCCTTTGGAAAGAGATATACAACCACAGCCAACAGGCTTTCCTAAAAGACAGCAGGAGCTTTTCATGCGGACTTGTTCCCATCCATAACATACAAATATTTATTGGTCAGGGTCTATACAGCCTTGCAAATAAACAGGCTTTGAGTTATACCAAGCATGCTCATCTTTATATGGTATTTCCATATAAGAAATACAAAAGAAATACACCACAAAATGATGGTGTTCAGGACATGGGGCAATGCCCTGTTTCTGCATCCTAGGTTTCATAGGATTCCATAGGAGACAGCTACAAGTTCAACATGCAAAGCTCTGAAATCCCTTCCTAAGCTAATGAAGTGAAGCCCTGACCGCACCAAGGAAAGGATGAAACACAACTCATTTGTTGTTTCTCACATGATGCTACCATCTCTTCTAAGTCACCATTAATTCTAACATCTTTAAAGATATAAGAACAATCTGTGTAACAAATGAAAACTGCCTGTAAAGTTAGTGCTTTACATCTCAAAAGCTTATTACATGGAAATTCATATTTTCATAATCACATAAAAGTTTAACATGTTATTCATAATAAGATTACAGGACCTGAGTTATTCTGTCTGTGTAATTATTAACAACTGGAAATTAAATCGTGATAATTTTGTACTCTTTTCTTCTTAAAATGAGGATTTCCTTTCTTCTTTTGCCTGAGAACCATGCTTGAACAATACTAACGACTTACCTTCTAAAACAAATGATTATATATAATATATAAATATAAATGTTTTATATATGTATTTATACATAAAATGTATATTTATATATAAATATCTCTCTATATATTCTACATAAAAACGTAAAAATACATATAAATATATAAATATGTATAGTAGGTTCTAGTATATATAGAAAAGACCTATGTATTTTGAACATGTGTATATATAATGTCTATATATTTATATATTATATAAATATATAATTCATATTTCTATATTTGTATTTATATATTATATATAAATATATATAATCTATAGTTTTGTATATAGTAAATATAGTTGTATATTATTTTATTTACATATATTTAAATATGTTTTGTACAGTAAATTCTACTATATATAGAAAAGACCTGTGTATTTCTAATGTATGGAAATATGAAATGTACTTTTTGTCTGTCGCAAAAATAAAAAGGCTTTTTTCAGGTGGATAGATTTTGTTCTACTTTGAATTTTTCTTAATCATATTAGATTGTAGGGAGGGGACACTGAAAGGAAAGAGGATGGAGACGATTCTTCCATCGGTTTCTATAAATGAAAAGGTATTTTAACAATGAAACCTAAGTAGGTAGAATCCAGTTCTTGGTACTTGGTGTATGTGCTAGCAAGATTGCATGAAGAAACAAACGTTACAAGAAGCGGAGTCATCCCGTGAAGGGGAGACTTTTCTCCAATGCTCAGCCATGACGCAATCCTTATCCTCCTGTCTGGCTAACTGTGACATGTCCCTTTGACCTCGACCCTGTGGGACCCCACTTCCCTCCCTCCCCCACATACCACCTATTCCTTCCTTCTGTCCTTTCTCCCTCCCCACACACCTCCTCTTTCTCCGTCCGTCCCTCCCTCCCCACACACCATCTCTTCCTCCCTCCCTCCCTCCCCACATCCCACCTCTTCCTCCCTCCCTCCCTCCCCTCACACCACCTCTTCCTCCCTCCCTTCTTCCCTCCCCACACACCACCTCTTCCTCCCTCCCTTCTTCCCTCCCCACAACCCACCTCTTCCTCCCTCCCTCCCCTCACACCACCTCTTTCCCCCTCCCTCCCTCCCCACACACCACCTCTTCCTCCTCCCTCCCCTCACACTTCCTCCTCCTCCCTCCCTCCCCTCACACCACCACTTCCTCCCTCCCTCCCTCCCTCCCCTCACACCACCTCTTCCTCCCTCCCTCCCCACCCCCCACCTCTTCCCGCCTCCCCTCCCCACCATCAGAGAACACAGAGTCACTGAGATCATTTTGCAACACATTCATTTTATTGTCTTCACCAGGGGCCACCGTGCTGGTGAGATCTCTGAGGTCTGGCGACTGGAACTGAACTTAGTCGCTGCTCAGCCAGATGGGGTAGTCGGTGGCCGCCCCCTCACTCAGCGGCTCCTCCAGCTGGGACTCCTGGCTCAGGGGGTCGTCCTGGGTCCCCTCGCTCACTGGCTCCTCGGGGGGCAGCTCATGCTGAGGGAGCTCCTGGCTGGGCTGGTCACTGGGGCCGGGGGCCGCTGGCCCGCTCCCCGCCTCAGGGGCCGTCGCCGCCGCCGCCATCTTGCTCGCGGCCCGTTTCTTCCCGCGTCTCCCTCCACGAGCTGCTTTTCCCTTCTTGGCAGCTCTGGTAGCCTGGAAGGACAACAGGGAGATGCCAGAAGGGCTCTGGTTGAGGGAAGAGGATGGAGGAGGCTGGGAACAGGGACGTTTCCTCAGAGGCGGGCGGGCCGGGTTGGGGGGCTGTGCCAGGGGAGGCCGGGAGAGGATTCTGGGGAGGAAGGAGGCGAGGGGAAGCCGAGGAGGAGCTTGGGTGGGTCCCTCACCTTCTTCTTCGGGCTACTGCAGCTCTGCTGAGAAGAGGACTTCCTCTTTCGGCTCTCCGTGGTCTTGGCCGGGGATCCCGAGGCTCTCGGCTTCGGACTCATCTTCCACAGCTCAACGGCTCCCAACGGTCACCCGCGGGCTGCCTGGGGTCCCCGTATATACCCCTCCCGCGGTCTCGGGACAATGAGGCGACCACGTCCCTGAGCTGTGATTGGTCAATACCCCACTACCCAGCCAATGGGAGCCCTGGGCGGGAAGGGAGGCCTTCGACGTCACAAAGCACCAGCACGACCTGACTGAGGGAGGTGGCAGGGAGTGACATCTGAGGAGGAAGGCAGGGTGCGCTGGTTGGAGAAAGGGAGATTGGGGTTAGCACGCCTAAGGATAGTTCCCAAACTGACATGGCACCCCTCCTAAACGCCCCATGTTCAATTTTGGCAGATCACGTGGCACGGGAGGGTATTTCTGCCATATGGTTCCCCTGGACCCCCCCACTCAGTGGTACATTCTATTTCTCCACACCTGCCATCATTACCCAGTTTCTGTATCACCTACCTAAAATTCCTCCATGTTAACTGGGACGGGTTGCGGGCTATACGAAGATGTCAATTGACCAGGCACACTGGCGCACGCCTGTAATCCCGGCACTTTGGGAGACCGAGGAGGGCGGATCACCTGTGTTCGGGAGTTTGAGATCAGCCTGACCAACCTGGAGAAACCCCATCTCTACTGAAAACACAAAATTAGTCGGGCGTGGTGGCGCATGCCTATAATCCCAGCTACTCTGGAGGCTGAGGCAGGAGAATCGCTTGAACCCGGGAGGCGGAGGTTGCAGTGAGCCGAGATAGTGCCATTGCACTCCAGCCTGGGCAACAAGAACAAAAGTCTGCCTCAAGGAAAAAAAAAAAAAAACTGTCCATCAGTCATCCCTCTCTCCTACAAATTCCTCTGCTGCACCTTGAGGACCATTCACTTCTTGGATGCGATCAAAGAACTTTTCCATCTCATTTCCTTTTCCCACCGTCCACATAGTGCCCCTCAATGTTTCATTCTCATGGTTTAAAGCACTGGCTTCAGGCGGTGAAGATCAGCAAACACACTCACTCAGCTGGGTCTGTATCAGGCTGGGTTCCTCAGAGAAGGAGAAACTAAGCCAATAGGATATTTGTGTGTGTGTGTGTGTGTGTGTGTGTGTGTGTGTGTGTAATATATGTCATAAACATCTATTTACTATTGTTTGGTATTTATGAATAATATTATATATATGATATGCTTTACTGTAAGCAATTGACTCACACATTCACACACTGTGGGGGTCTAGGAAGCTGAAATATGTAGGGCAAGTGAGCAGGCTGGAAACTAAAAGCTTCTGCACAGCCAACAATCAACAAAATGAAAAGGCGGGCTATGGTTTGGGAGAAACTATTTGTGAACCATACATCTAATAATGAGTTAATATCCAAAATATATAAAGAACTCAGCTCAATAGCAAAAAAAAAAAAAAAAAAAAAAAAAAAGTAGTCTGGTTTACAAATAGGTAAAGGACTTGAATAGACATTTCTTGAAAGAAAATCCACAACTGGCCAACAGGTTTATGAAAATGTGCTCAACATCGTTAATAATCAGAGAACGCAAATGAAAACCACAGTGAACTATCACCTCACACCTGTTAGGACAGGTATTATGAAAAAGTCAAGAGATAAAAAGTAATGATGGCAAAGGTGTGGAGAAAAGGAAACCCTTTTAGGGTGTGCAGAAAAGGGTACCTTTACAAGACAGAAATGTTATTGGTACATTATGAAAAACAGTATAATGGCTCCTTGGAAAATCAAAATAGTTCTACCATATGACCCAGCAGTTCATCTGTTGAGTATGTGCCCCTCCCCCAAAATGAAATCCACATCTCATAGAGGTATCTCCAGTACTAATTCTAACTCATTCATCACACAGGAAATAAGAGTTTCTATTTGAAAACACTGTTGTTGTTGTTGTTTTCACCATCCTGGTGTCAAATACTTATCCTATTCTAGACATCTCTTCTTATTTCTTGCTTTGTAATAACCTAGGTACTACTACCCATTGACAGAACTAACTCGTTATTCCAACAAGAAATGAGAAATGTTGAGGAGAATGCAATGTTATACTTCTTGTCTTCAACTAGTTATTCTAGTTTTATGGAGGATTCTGTATTTAACTCTTACCCAGGTAACTCTAGTTACTGTATCCACAGTACCTAGTCAACAATCCTAAAAAAATAAGAACACAGAGTTGACTAGAATGGTTACTAAACTTTCTATGTTCAGCCAGTTTTCCTACTAATTGCTAGTTGTTTATTCAACTGTTTGCCTAGGTACTATTAAATGTCTAGTTTTATGTCACTAAGACATAAGAAAAAGTATTACAAAGAATATATTTATTACAGGTACTGGCTTCATCTAGTTATCTCTAGCCCAGGAAGAAAAAGTGATTTTGTGGGCCAGGCCCAGGATCCCTGTGTTGTGTGCAGCCTAGGGACTTGGTGCCCTGTGTCCCAGCCACTCCAGCTGTGGCTGAAAGGAGCCAACATACAGCTTGGGTTGTGACTTCAGAGGGTGGAAGCTCCAAGCCTTGGCAGCTTTCACATGGTGTTGTGCCTGCAGGTGCACAGAAGTCAAGAATTGAGGTTTTGAAACCTTCACCTAGATTTCAGAAGATGTATGGAAATGCCTGGATGCCCAGGTAAATGTTTGCTGCAGGGGTAGGGCCCTCATGGAGAACCTCTGCTAGGGTAGTGTGGAAGGGAAATGTCAGGTCGGAGCCCCCACACAGAGTTCCTACTGGGGCACTGCCTAGTGGAGCTGTAAGAAGAGGGCCATCATCCTCCAGACCCCATCATGGTAGATCCACTGACTGTGGGCCTGGAAAAGGCACAGACACTCAATGCCAGCCCATGAAAGCCAGGAGGAAGGCTGTAACCTGCAAAGTCACAGGGACGGAGCCGCCCAAGACCATGGGAACCCACCTTTTGCATCAGCGTGACCTGGATGTGAGACCTGGAGTCAAAGGAGATCATTTTGGAGCTTTAAAATTTGACTGCCCCTCTGGATTTTGGACTTGCATGGGCACTGTAGCCCCTTTGTTTTGGCCAATTGTCCCCATTTGGAATGGCTGTATTTACCCCATACCTGTGCCCCCATTGTATCTAAAAAGTAACTAGCTGACTTTTGATTTTACCGGCTTATAGGCAGAAGGGACTTGCCTTGTCTCAGAGGAGACTTTGGACTGTGGACTTTTCGGTTAATGCTGAAATGAGTTAAGACTTTGTGGGGCTTGTTGGGAAGGTATGATTTGTTTTGAAATGTGAAGTTTTGGAGGGGCTAGGAGTGGAATGATATGGTTTGGTTGTATCTCCACCCAAATCTCACTTGAATTGTATCTCCCAGAATTCTCATGTGTTGTGGGAGGAACCCAGGGGGAGGTAATTGAATCATGGGGGCCAGTCTTTCCCTTGTTATTCTCATGATAGTGAATAAGTCTCATGAGATCTGATGTGAGATCCAGGTTTCTGCTTTTGCTTCTCCTCATTTTTCTCTTGCCACTGCCATGTAAGAAGTGCCTTTTGCTTCTCACCCTGATTCTGAGGCCTCCCCAGGCTTGTGGAACTATAAGTCCAATTAAACCTCTTTTTCTTCCCAGTCTCAAGTATATCTTTATCAGCAGCATGAAAACGAACTAATATAATACCATAGGTACTTTAGGGGAGGATTGAGTGGAACTGGACAAATATGTCCAGGGTCCTCCAAGCTAACTGCTAGGTCATTACTAGAGTGCAGGTCTTTCCTCATTCAAACACAAACACAGACCAGCAGCATCACATTGACTGACTCAAGAGAGAGAATAGACAGAGACATCCCTGCTCTTTTACTCAGGTCCCAGAACAATCAATTCTACCACTGGGAAAAATTAAAGTGGGTGTTTGTTTTCTGTAGGTGCTGGTGCTGTCTTTTTTTTTTTTTGCGTTGCATTTGCAGCTTTTTAAAAATTATCACCTCCTTCGCCTTTCTCTTTCTCTTCCTCCTCCCATACCTCCTCTTCCCTCACCTTCTTCTTCACCTTCTCTCTGTGTCTCTCTTTCTATGTGTGGTGGCAGATAAACATGAGAGCGTATAACAAGGGGCATATATAGGTCTATCTATCTATCTATCTATCTATCTATCTATCTATCTATCTGTCTCTTCCTCCCTCCTCTCCTCCCCTGCCTCCTCCATCTGCCCCCTCCCCACACCCTCTTCCTCCCTCCCCTCCCCTTGCTTCTTCCTCGTCCTCCTCCCTCCCACACCCCACCTCTTCCTCCTGCTCTCCCCACACCTCTTCTTCCTCCTCCACCTCTCCTTATCCCTCTCCCACCTCTTTATCTCCTCTGCACCCTGTTATCCTCCTCCCCCACACCCCCCCCTCTTTCTCCCTCCTCCCTCTCCCCACCAACCTCCTCCCTCCTCCTCCACCTGCCTCCTCCTCCTCTCACTGCCTTCCTCTCCTCTCCTCCACACCGCCTCCTCCTCCTCCCTCACTGCACCCTTATATCTCCACTCCCTCACTACCTTCTCCTTCTCCTCCTCCCTCCACCCTCTTCCTCCTCCTCCCTCCCCTCACCCCACCTTCCTCCCTCCCCTCCTCCTCTTCCTCTTATCCTCCTCCCCTCTTCCTCTCCCTCCTCACCCCTCCTTCCTCCCTCCCTCCCTCACCCTTCCTCCCTTCTCCTTCCTCCCCCTCCCCACCCTATCTTCCTCCCTCCTCCTCACACCTCTTCCTCCTCCTCCCCTCCACCACCGCTCCTCCTCTCCTCACACCACTTTCTCCTCCTCCTCCACACACACCCACCCTCTTCTCCCTTCCCTCCTCCTCCTCACACCACCTTCCTCCCTCTCCCACCTCCTTCCTCCCTCCTCCTCCCTCACCCCACCACCTCTTCCTCCTCCTCCCCACACCACCTCTTCTCCCTCCTCCCCTCTTCTGTCTCCTCCATCACACACCTCTTTATCCTCCCTACCCTCTTTATCCCTCTCCCTCCCTGCACCACCTTCCTCCACTGTCCTCCTCCTTCCCCCTCTGCTCCTCCCTCACCTCCCACCTCCTGCTCCTCCCCCTCCAAACCACCTCTTCCTCCTCCCTCCTGCCTCCCTCTTCCTCCTCCCTCCTCCCCACCCTCCTCCTTACCTCCACCATCAAGGCAGTCTAACAGGATGTTTCACCTTACATTCATTTTATTGTCTTCACAGGGCCACCACGTGCTGGTGATCTCTGATCTGTGACTAAGACCAGGCACCAGTGCTCTCAGCCAGATGGTAGTAAGACAACGCCCCCTCACTCAGCTCCTCCAGCTGGGTTTCTGGCTCTGAGGTGTCCTGGGTCCCAGCTGCTGCTCCTCGAGGCAGCTCATACCTGAGGGCTCCTGGCTAGACTGGTGATCACTGGGGCCAGAGGGCACTTCGCCCGCTCCCGCCTCAAAGGCTCCATCTGCTTATGCCATCTGCTGACAGAACTTCCAATCTCCTCCACAGGCTGCTTTCCAGCTCTTTGGCGGCTCTGGCGCTCCCTCAGAGGACAACAGGAGATGCAGAAGATCTGGTTGCAGAGGAAGGGTGGAAAGGCTGGGAACAAGGGGCGTTCCTCAGGCGAGTGGGCGGGTTAGGGCTCATGTGAGGAGGCGGGGAGGGTCCTGGGGAGGAAGGAGGCGAGGAAAGCCAGGAAGGCAGTGGTCTCTGTCTTCTTGGGCTGCAGCTCCTTGAAGGAACCTATCATGCAAGCTCTCCGTGGTTCCCTTGCCGGGGATCCGGCTCTGGCTTGGACCTCCATCCTTCCTGGCTCGGCTCCCCGCGTTACCATGGGCTGCTGGGGTCCCAGTGTCACCTGCCCCTCACGGTCGAGGACAGCCGGCGACCAGTCCCTGAGCTGCAGTTAGTCATGCCCTGCAGCCAATGGGGACCCTGGGCGGAAGGAGGCCAGCGCCTCTGTTTTTCTTGACCTGGCTGAGGGCAGATGACATCTAGGGAGAAGGCAGATCTGCAGCTAGTTGGAGGAATTGAGTTCAGCAACTAAGGATGGTTCCCAAGCTGACATGCTTCCCCTCCCTGCCCCATGTTGTTGGCAGATCATTGTGGGAGAATTTATCATATGGACACCCCTGGTTTATAGTGTTATTCTCATTCTCCACCTGCCATCATTAGTTTATGTCACTACTGGGTCTCTCCATGTGCTAGAGTGAGTTCCTGGGCTGTCTCGAAGATGTCAGTGGCTCCAAACCTGGCCTCCGCCTCTTAATCCCAAGCATGGGAAACCAGGAGGCAGATCACCTGTGTTGGAGGTTGAGATCAGCCTGATAACTGGGAAAAACCCATCTGCGAAAACTGATCATTTGGGCGTGGTGGCGCCAGCCTGCTAATCCTTCTCCAGGCAGGCGGAGAATGCTTGAGCCGGGAGACGGAGGTTTTGTGGCCAGATGGTGCCGACACTCCAATACTGAGCAACAAACTTAAAGTCTATCAGGAAAAAAAAAAACTGTCAAATAAGTGTCTCTCTCCTAAATTCCTCTGCACCTTGAGGATGTTTCCTTCATGAGATCGATCAGAACTCCATCATTTCATGCACCCACGATACACAGTGCCCTCATCTTCCATTCTCCCATCTGGTTTGGCTTGCACCCGGCTGGTGGTGAAAGTCACTCAAACACACTCACTCATTTGGTCTACATCAGGCTGGGTTCATCAAGAAAATAGCCAATAGAGATGTTTGTGTGTGCCATGTGTGTGTGTATGTTATTATCCTCATATATCAACATATTTACTATTGTTTAGTGTTTATATGAATAATATTATATATGATATAGCACACATAACAATTGACTCACACATTACACATATTAGAGATTCTAAGAAACTCAATGTAGAACCAAGTGAGCAGGAAGCAAGCCAAACTCTTTAGCTATGTCAACCAGCTGAAAAGCAGGCTCACCTGTTTGGGAGAAACTATTTGTGAAACCATACATGTATAGTAAGTTAATATTTAAAATGTATAAAGAACTCGCTCAATATAAAAAAAAAAGTAAGTCTGGTTTGCAAGGCTGGTAAGGACTTGAGACAAGACATTTGTGAAAGAAAATCCTGGCTATAATAACAGGTTTGTGAAAATGTGCTCAACATCGTTGGCAATCGACGCAAATGAAAACCACAGTGAACTATCACCTCACACCTGTTAGGACAGGTATTGTAAGAAAAAGTCAGAGATAAAAAGTAATGATGGCAAGGTGTGGAGAAAAACCCCCTTTTAGGGTGTGCGAAAAGTGCCTTTACAGACAAGAAATATTAAATAATTACATGTGAAAAACAGTATAATGGCTCCTTGGAAAATCAAAATGGTTCTTGCTGTGACCCAGCAGTTCATCACGGCGGAGTATGTGCCCTCCACAGCAAATCCACATCTCATAGGGGGTATCATCAATTACTAATTCTAACTCATTCATCACACAGGAAATAGAGTTTCATTTAGCCACTGTTGTTTGGTGTTGTTTTCCACCATCCTGAGGTGTCAAATACTTGTCCTATTCTGAACATCTATTCCCATTTTATTTAAAAAAAACATGACCAACACAGGTACTACCCATTAAGCCGAGCTAACTCGTTATTCCAGCAAAAGCTAAAAGTATTAGGAAGATGTAATGTATACTTATAATATTAAACTAGTTATTCAAGGTTTTATGGAGGATTCTGTGTTGCTCTTTTCAGGTAACTCTAGTTATTGTCACATTACTAAGTCATAATCCTAAAAAATAAGAACACAGGTTATTTAAGAGATGATTTACCAGCTTTCTATGTTCAGCTGATTTCCCTGCTAAATATAGTTGAAATTTTATTAGTAACTGTTTGCCTGGTATAATAATGTCTAGTTTATGTCACCATTATGAAAAAAATATTACAAAAGAGAATATATTATTACAGGCCACTGACTGTCTGGTTGTCTCCAGCCCAGGAAGAAAAAGTGATTTTGTGGTGAGCTTTGATCCCTGTGTTGTGTTTCCTTCAGGACAGGTGCCCTGTGTCCCAGCCACTCCAGCTATATTTGAAGGAGCCAACACTCACAGCTTGGACAGGCTTCAGAGGTGAAACCCGCTCTTAACTGCATAGTGTTGTGCCTGCAGGTGCAGAGGTGAAGTGGGGTTTTGAAACCTTCACTAGTTTAAAGTGTGCATGTGAAATCCTGTGGATGCAGTGAAATGTTTGCTGCAGGGGTAGGGCCCTCATGGAGAACCTCTGCTAGGGTAGTGTGGAAGGGAAATGCAAAGTCAGGCCCCACACAGGTTCCCTGCACAGGCACTGCCTAGTGGAGCCTCATGCAGAAGACCCATCATCTCTGAACCCCATCATGGTAGATCCACTGACTGTGGGCCTGGAAAAGGCACAGACACTCAATGTGGCCCATGAAAGCCAGGAGGAAGGCTTGTGGCCTGCAAAGATCACAGGACAGGCCCGCCAAACCATGGGAACCCACCTTTTACATCAGCATTGAGCCTGTGGATGTGAGACCTGGAGTCAAGGATCATTTTGGGCTTTAAAATTGGCTGCCTCCAGTTTTGGTTTGCATGGAGCACTGTAGCCCCTTTGTTTGGCCAATTGTCCCATTTTGGAATGGCTGTATTTACCCCATACCTGTGCCCCATTGTATACAAAAGTATAGCTGACTTTTGATTTTGCAGGCTTTATAGGCAGAAGGGACTTGCCTTGTCCATCCTTCAACTCCTCATCCCCCAATCTCCCTAGTCCCTTCTCACTCTTAAGCATCAGTGGCCCAAATAATTTGAAAAACAGGAGTGAAGTGTAAAAAGTTCTTCAGGTTGTGTGCAGGTTCATTTGTGTTGGAGGGTAGAGATGTTTAATCTTGGTAGTCAACACTTGTTGTTCTGGTAGAACCAAATCTCTCTCTGTGATCAGTCAGTCCAGTTTCTGCTTTTTATCCTCACTTTCTCTTACCCTGTGAAATTACACTTTCCACTTCTCACCTAATTCTAGAGAGCCTCCCAGGCCCATGAGACTATCTAAGTCAGTCTCAAACCTCTTTTTCTTTACAGGTCTCAAGTATGTCTTTATCATGGCATGGCAGACTAATATGGCCTTGCCAAATTTACTTTAGGGAGGATTGAGTGGAACTGAGTTCAAATATGTCAGGGTCCTCAAGCTAACTGCTGGGTCATTACTAGAAGTGCAGGTCTTTATAGACAAAACCTCAAACACAGACCAGCAGCATCACATTGACCCAGCTCAAGAGAGGCGTAGACGGAACATCCCTGCTCTTTACTCAGGTCGAGCATTCAATTCTACCACTGGAAAAATTCAGAGTGGGTGTTTGTTTTCTGTAGGTGCTGATTTTCTTTTTTTTTTTAGTTGAAATTGCAACTTTAAGTATCTCCTTCGCCTTTCTCTTTCTCTTCCTCCTCATCTCCTCTTCCTCACAGCCTTCTTCTTCACCTTCCCTACTCATTACTCTCTCTTTCTATGTGTGGTGGCAGATAAACATGAGAGCGTATAACAAGGGGCATATATAGGTCTATCTATCTATCTATCTATCTATCTATCTATCTATCTATCTGTCTATCAATCTGTCCTTAAAGATATGTATATCTCTAAAAACTTAATTTATAGATGGTGCAATAGCAACTGTAATCAATATTATATTTTTGATCATTTACTCACGAACTTAAGTGGGTTAAATACATGACTCTTAAAGCATATAATATCTTACATGCAGGGTCCATGATGTACCTACCTATTTTATATGATTTGGCTCTTTGTCCCCACCCAAATCTCATCTTGAATGTATCTCCCTGGCCCACATGTTGTGCAGGGATGGACCTGAAGTGGGAATAATTTTGAATCACGAGGCAGTTTCCCCATATTGTTCTTAATGGTAGTGAATAAGTCTCATATGATCGATGTGGTTTATTAGGGGTTTCTGCTTTTACATCTTCCTCATTTCTCTTTTCATATAAAAGTGCCTTTTACCTCCACCATGATTCTGAGGCCTCCCCAGCCATTTGGGCTATAAGTCCAATTAAACTCTTTGCTGACAGTCTCAGTGTTTGTCACTTATCAGCGTGAAAAACAGACTAATACATATTATTCTTATACATGGACTATTTGATCTTTCCATTTCTAAAATTAAGACAGAGTTGGATTAGGATGCTTCTTTGACATTATTGTGACCCTGCCATGCTAGTTGTGACCTGTGGTATGTGACTGTGAAAGAAAAAGCTCTTAGTTTCGTATAGCAAGAACAGAGTTGACCCAAATCAGCTACTCAGAAAAATAAATACATCAAATAATCATCCAACTGTGTATCTGGAAGATGTCGAGAAAATCTGTAAAATAATATTATCATTGTCATTGTGACCAAGATGGAAGAAATAAGACTGATTGCCCAAATCAGACAGTTATATAGTCTCCTTCAAGTTAGTGTTTTTTCAACATGATCATATTTCAATGCCATGACCATTTTAAAGCAGTATTTGCTCTGAATAAATTTGAAGACCTCTATATCATTTAACCAGTTTTATATATGTTGACAATCTGGGTAAGGATTGCTCTATGATCAGAAAGATTTGGTGGGTAAGAAATCAATGAGCATGTTTAGAAGTTGGAGAGGAGAAATTCAGATTCTGTGACCTATTAGGTCTGTTTTTAAATCTGTTCTGAGTCATCTGATTTTGATGAATCTTTTGGTTGTTCCCCCAAATTCATCAAGTGAGCTCACCTTTTAATTATTGTTATCCACTAGTCCGAATCGTTCAGAATATAGTTTTGCATTCTGTTATGTTTTTACTTTGTGTCCTTTTGCTATCTCTTTTTCTTCACTTGAGTCTAATGGGTGTTGATACCGCTGTATGGAGGTACTGTACTGGATGGCTGTCTCTTTCACTGTGACATCTCAAATGATACAATCCCATGGCAGGAAGCACAAAGAGGAGTTTGGCAGTTGAGAGCCTCATATGTCTCAGAATTGTGTCCTGAGAAACATAACTGAGAAAATGGCTTCTGGACACCAGAGGACACCCAGAGATTCTCAGGAACTAAAGGCATGAACAGTCCCAACAAAAAAGACTGTGGCCTTCTCACTCATTTGATGTTTGTATCATTGAAAACCAAAAGATTGTGAAGCAACACTGGAATGGAGACAAGGCACAGCCATAAAACATAAAGAATACATGAGGAAACAAAAGTCCATCAGAAAACCCTGAAGATTTGGTACTCTGAGTGTTCATATTGAGTAGTTTGGGAAGCTTGGGCTGAAAATTTGAGTCAACATTTTGTGGATGGCTATATATATATAGCCTTTATGAACTCATATGGGTTGAAAGCTTGTGACTTGGCCAATGTGGTGGCTCATGCCTATAATCCTGCCAGTTTGGGAAGCAGAGACGGGCGGATTGCTGAGCTCAGGAGTTTGAGATCAGCCTGGGCGCATGGTGAAACCCTGTCTCTACTAAAATACAAAATATTAGCCGGGTGTGTTGTGCCTGTAATCCCAGTTATTCGAACTGAGGCAGGAGAATCGCTTGAATCTGGGAGGCAGAGGTTGCAGTGGCTTGAGATTGTGCCACTGCACTTGGCCTGGGTAATGGAGTGAGACTGTTCAAAACCACCACCACCAACAACAACAAAAACATGACTCTTAAAGGTGTATAATTCTCTCTTCGTATTTACCTACATAGGTATACTTTTTGCTGAAGAAAACATACCACATTTACATTCCTAAAGTGAATCTTTTCCTTCCCCTGATCTCCTGCTATTTCTCGAATTAAAATTCAAGAATATTGTGTGAGCTTTGTAGATAACATTAGATGCAATGTGCAATAATTCATTTGCAGATATAAAAACACTACCCAAATCGACATCTCTGTGGCTACATTTCTCTAGAAAACAAAGGATATAACATCAAATTGCCTCTCAATGAGTGTATACGCGAAGGCCCAAGAAGTGTGTATCTGCAATGCCCTGATAAACTGTTGACTTCAAAGGATTGCCACAGTTATCTCAAGCGCACATTAACAATCCAGAAGTAAAGCACTTGGCCTTTTTCAGAGTCTCCAGATACTTCTCTCAGTCAACTAACCACATTTCCTGTGCAACAATAGTCCTGAATCTTGCCTTATTTTTGGACCTTTTCTATCTGTTGTTGGGAAAGCTGTTTGTCAGGGAGGAAGGAGAAATGACAGAGTAGACATTAGTACCTCTATATATCTCATAGCCCCTATCTGAGGAGTTCAGTATAAAGTTAAATTTGACTCATTCCTGACAACCTCATATGATTACAGGAGAGGCCTTGCTTGTCCTCTGAGGCACCTTACCACCATTCCATTTGATAGTCTCTGCCAGTACTAGAAAATGAATGATAGTCACCCAAAGCCTGTCTCTGGACACAGAACATAATTGGACATTATCACATCATCATCATCATCATATCATCATCATCATCATCAGATAAAATTTCTTGTTGCCATCTTGTATAGCAATATATCATGTCCTTTTAAATACACTGAAAAATAAAAATGAAATGATTCATACCTCACCTCCCGTTCCATGGCCACTGGAGCCCATGAGTAACCCAAGAACAATGATAGAAATGTCCTTGTAAAAGCACATCTACCTGCTCTCTGTAACAGTTCAAACTCCATAATGTCAGCAAACTGCCTTCTGGAAAAACAGGATAAAAAGGCACAATTGCTACAAATCCTTCCCCAAAGAGACAACGAAATCATTTTGCAATAGCCAAGTGCACAGAAATATAATATTATAAAATACGGGCTGGAAATCACAAATTGAAATAAAAAATAGGACCCTCTTTGCACAGAAATTAGAGATAATCGCTATATAATGACTAAACAGGGAAAAGAGCTGTATTTACAATAATAATAAACCATTATTCTGAAGTGAAGTTGAAAGATAATCTTTACAATATGGAGAGAAAGATGAATTAAACCAATGCTATATTGTTTGTTCATATCTGAAGAGGCAGTGTGAGTGAATCTATTGTTACAGCACAAACGCTTTATTTTCCCATGTCAATAGAGTTGTACATATGAATTTTAAATTACGTTTATTTGTTCAAACCATGATTTATAATTTTAAACAAAGAGGCAATTTAGCAAAGCAGGATATAAAACATGTCTGGGATAAGTACCCTTTTGAGAAAGAGCTCAGGCTTTTCCTGTTCAATAGTGATGTTTTAGACTCATGGTCTCTCATAGAATGACTCCTTGTAGGGGGTAAGAGGATGGATAATCATTCAAGTTAGAATTGTTAGTTCTGATACTGGCAATAAGTTCGGTTGGGACCTGTGTCTTCCATCATTATATAAACAACTACTTTTGAAGAAAACATTTTCCTCGATAATCTGCCACCACCATCTGCGTCCGGCAGCATAAGTTTTCATCTGTGTCTTCAATGTGCTATAAATCTGGTGGTTTGGCCATGTCTGTACACCTCCTGTCTGAGCCCCAGGCCATTCTGCTTTTCTCCTGGCCTTGTACACACCTTCCCTTAGTACTTGGAATGGTCTATAAAATTGTAGAAATCATTTTCTTATTGAGAGGCTACTAACCTGTCCATCACTCTCCACCTAAAGTAATTAAACCCATCTTTTCCACATGGTACATCACTTTTATCTCTGAGTTTTCCTCTTTGCTCTCTCTCTCCTCCTGTTCATTATCTTGTGAAGGCACAACACCTTTCTAGAACCTTTATCTCAGCAGTTTATCTTGCAGTTCTTAGATTACTTTTTCCAAGAAATACATACTCCTCACATTTATTTTTCATAGTAGGTTCCGCTCACCACTCAATTTCTGCTCACTTGTTGCGTCTATGCAGCTGTACCTGCCCCCAACTTACCCGTTGGCCTGTTACTCTTTCCTTTTCTTCATAGAGGCTCATCTCATCCAATGTCATCTTCTGTTCCATTACCCTCTTTCATTTTCTTCATTAGTCCTAATTTTGCTTAATAGCTGTTTAGTGTGTTATCTTATTTATCTGTCTCACCTACGATTTAAGCCATCAGCTCCAAGAAGACAAAAGCCTTGGTTTTGTTCATTATTCTCTTTCTAGCACCTAAAAACCACTCAGGAACCCACAGAATGCAATCTTTAGTATTTGTTGAGTTAACAGAATGACTCCATTCCTTGGTGTTTTTCAGAAACAGAGGACAATATAGACAAACAGCTAAGCTAGGATCACAGGAGTTGATGCCACAGTTTGCTCCAGTGTTTGTCACAGCTCCCTTCCTGGCATTGCTGTTAGAAGCTTCTCTGAAGTGGTTACTGCAGCCAGCAACCACCCTCCCCAGGCCCTTCAGAATGGCCCCAGCTAACTTGCTAGCAGTTCCCATTAGCCATCCTGAGCCAGCACCGACATTTATTTACTCACCACTCAGAACCTGTGAATGCAGTAGAATTTATTTGCCTTTTTTTTTTTTTTGCCAGTCCTCTGTGAGAAGCAACCCATTATAGCCATGTGGATGAGATAGCAACCTTTAATTGATGCTTCCATGGGTATCATCAATACTGCATTGCCCAGATCGTGACTATCAAAATGGTCTAGCAAGCTGCAAGTCCTCTCTCTTCTTTCTTTTCGATGTTGCCAGGATAGTTGTCGCCCAAGGTGGCGGTGGTAAGAGTATATGACTCATGGTACACAGTAGTATGTGTGTGAGTGAGGTGTGCCTTGAATGTGTGTAGGCCTGTGTCTGTATGCCTGTGAGTGAATTTGTGTGAGTACATGTGTCTCTGTGTGTGTGTGGGGCGGGAGGAGGCTTTGCTGCTGCTGATGGAAGAGAGCCTGAGAGCACACGTGACAGGTAGGTGAACTGAACTTTCATTCCTGCTTGCCACTCAAGCATTTCTCTCCTTCATGGGGCAAACAGGACACTTTGTTACTGATTGGAGATGGCTCACCGTGAAAATTGGTTTCCCCAAAAAATGTTATAGTCATTACCTGGTTAATGATGGGGATACATTCTGAGAAAATGTGAGATTAGGCAATTTTGTCTATTGTGCAAACATTAGAGGAGATGTGTACAAAACCTAGATGGTATAGTCGACTACTCACACAGGCTATATGGTATAGCCTATTGCTCCTAGGCCTGAGAGCTGAACAGCATGGTACTATGCTGAATACGGAAGGCAATTGTAACACAATGGTATTTTCATATCTAAACATAAGAAAAAGGTAATGCGTTGTGCTACAATATTGTGATGATCGAATATTTTCAGCTCCATTATAATCTTATAGGACTACCATTGTATATGTGGTCCATCATTGATCAAAATGCCATTATGCTGTGCATGACTATCTTTTGTTTTCATTTCAGTACATAACAATACAACATATAACATTATAATGATAAATATCCATTTCACATTCTTTTGCTTTTCTAGGAAAGATTACACATGTTAATTTACTTAATTCTTGTAGCACCCATGGATTAGGTATTTTTCTCATCATTAGTGTTTTGTCGATGGAACAATGGAAGAACAAAAATAATTTTGCAATGTTTACATTGGCAAAATTGATATGCGTAAATATGACTTGCAGGACTGATTTATAGCACACCCTTTGGGATAAACCTTTGTCTTCCCACAATTATAGAGAAAGAAGAAAGACATTTGATATGGAGTTAAATGGCATAAATGGCCCTTGACCTAGCTGACAAAAAGAACAACTCTTGCCCCTTATTAGGATATCACTTTCTTCCTCTCTAATGTAATTTTCTCACTGAAATGATTAGCACCTTCCCTCACAGAATATTGAGAAATTAAATGAGCAAATGTATGAAGGCATTTTAAACTGCAAAGCACTATATTAACATGATATATTTAGCTTACACCATCAACTGACAATTGCCTGGGTCCTTTAGCTATTTGGGTCCTTTAGCTATTTCAATGTAATTCCTGAAGTATAAGGTTTGTGAGAATATGACAATTGAAGATTGGTGTTTCAGAATTATCTGATCGTCATCTCTAAAGATACACTCTTTTAAGCTTCTGTGTAATGAAGCTTATTTTACTTCGCTCATTCCCTTCAATTATGATAATGTCCTCTGTAAACTTCTCCTGCATATATTAGCTAATATATTTTCTGATACCCATTCAGCCCCTTGGAAACTCCTCTTGGATCCTTTCAGCATCCTAAGCCTCCTAGACTTTTTGGCTTCTTTTGTATTTCAATTTGATGCCTTCTTCCTCTTTTATTGTTTTTAATTTTCATCACCTAGACACAGCCTTCACATAATCATCTTTCATGTTTCTGAATACTCCTTCCATTGTTGATTCTTCTTTCCCTTTCCTCACTAACTATGGACCTCTATCACTGTTTGACCTAAGGACCTCACTTATCCACTCATGCATGTGTCTCTTTTCCAGGAATCTCATTAGTTTTTACTATGTGCTGTGGGCGGTTCTAGGCAAAATTGCATCAGTGACATTTTGTCTTCTCCTCCTCTCTGCCTTTTCTCAGTGTTGCCCAATTGCCTGTTCTCTGATGCTCTTGTAAAGTTAAGTGTCTCAGGCCCCTTCACCTGGCTTGTGGGATTGCTACTGGTAATTTTTTTGTCAGATTCCATCATCAAGTCTTGCATTTCTGAGCTTACTGCATTGTATCAGGGGTAACAACCAAACTAACAGGATAAGATTTTGTATTTTTATTTGACCAAGCCCACTCCTGCTTGTTCTAAAAGTAAGATACAAAATTCACAGACAAGAGAAGAAAGAGGGGTAGAAGAAGAAGGAGGGGAAGGAGAAAAACAGAGGAGAAGGAAGAAGGAAGAGCTTAAGTAGAAATCTCAGAGGGTTTTGTTGGCTTCAGGTTGCATCACGGGGATAAGTCTTTAATCATTTGACATAAGAGATTTTCTTGAATGTTTATAACAGGGTAGAAAGTTCTTGTCAGAGGAGAATCCCAAGTCTCCACCAGGCATAAGACCTGCAGAGTGTTGTCTAATCTAATCTTGCTTTGAAGGACTCCTCAGTTGTTGTATGTTTTAACTAAAAAGATGTAATGGGCGCTGTTTCTTTTCATTTATGCCTTACCCCTACTTTTTCTTTTACTTTTTCTTTTCATTTCTTTTGTTTTGTTTTTGTTTTGTTTGTTTTGTTTGAGACGGTGTTGCTCTGTTGCCAAGTCTAGAAGTTCAGTGCTCATCAGCTCTGCAGCCTTGAACTCCTGGGCTCAAGTGATCCTTCCACCAGCCTCTGAGTATGTGGACCCTGACATGCACATCACCATACCTGATCTAATTTTAAGTTTTTTGGAGAGATGGGTTCCTTCTCGCTGGCCCAAGTTCATCTCAAACTCCTGGCTCAAACAGATTTACCCACAACCCAGCCTCCCAAAGTACTGGAATTATAGGCATGAGCCACCATGCCCAGCCTCCTTCCCTCTTTTGCACTATGGATGTTTACTAATCCATCCATCCCATCATTCTATATATTGTCTTACCTCATTCATTTTGTTTAATAATATTAATCAGTACTTTTTCAAGCCAGGTACTGTGCCATGTTGCAGCGCAGACCAGTCCTTACTAACTGTTTAGCAGGAGAAAGGCATCATTCAGAGGTTCCAATATTTGAAATTATTCACACAGAACCCGAATAACACTTTATAACCTCCCTCCTATTCAACTACTTTGCCCATACAAAGCAGTTTTCAGTAACAATCCATTGCCCTTTCATCCAGCATTGCTCTCTTTCATAAGAAAGATGTGCAATAGCAAAGTGAAGTTGGCTGGGCACAGGAAAGAAGCAGATAACTCACTTATTGTCAATCATAAGTAGAGCCTGGCAAAGTGGTCACCTTGCTGAACAGGCGTTAAGGTAACATCAACCCCATTTTCACCTAAAATATGCTTGAAAAAGCTGCAGTCCTCTCTAACCCCTGAAACAACTCTGGCAGGGTCCAAACTAATATCCCAATGTAAAACACACTTAGAGTGCTCCAAGCCCCATGTCCGCAGCAGCCTTCAATCTGCAACTTTGCATGCTAGCGGTCAGCTTGATTTGCCCACAGACATCCTGACATCCGCACCAAAATATTGACTGATAGTTTGTATGCTTTGTTCACAAACCACCCCATGTTCAACTTCAAGCAGACCACACTGACCTCCTGGCTTGAAGTCCGTCTGAAAACATCCTCAGTTTTTGTGTTTTTCCTGTTCCTTCTGCAGTCTATATATATAGTCCATAAACTGACATTGGGTCCTAGTCTGCTGCATGTAAATTCTTGAACATCCAAGTGGCTTTCATTTATGCAGCGATCAATGGCCAAAGCCAACTTCTTTAATTCATTCACTGTATTCCTCTGGAGAAATGCAAGTAATAAAAATCATGTTAGGATAACCTATTAGTGTACTTCTCTGTCTGAAGATTACTGTCTTTTTTATTTGATTTACGATGAGCCTCAGACTATATACAAATAGATAAATAGTTCATAGGAATTAATTCTCTTGTTGGTAAAATATTATTTTATTAAGTTTTATTGGATTTAAACATTGTGCAGTTAACCAAAGGGGTGTTTCAGACTTTCCCAGGTGGATCTTTCCTGTTTGTAGTGAATTAAAGTTCAAAATAATAGATAACTTTAAAATACTTGAATGCAAAAGTTTTGGGTCACAAGTACTATTAGTTTAAGCTGGCAAGTTATTAAATAAACTTATTGTGGTCTTGCTCATTGAAATACCACCATATATACTAAAAATTCTGGTTTTAAATGTAAAAGAAGGTGGACTCTAGTATACATTAATTTAATCGCTGAAGTCCATACAAATAAAATAACCTCCTTGTGGAACCTAAATCTTTTTAAAAATCACACACACACAGAAATATATTTGTAGTATATATATGATTATATGTACTGCATATGTGTGTACCCTCTACTGAAAAAATCATATGTATGTATATATATTTGTACTA